AAGATGAACATGGACAAAACAAAGGTCATGTTCAAATGTCCATGTCACACCTATGCCGGTAGTTGTTGGGAGCACTAAGCTCGAAGTTGTTGACGAGTACGTTTACCTGGGACAAATAGTACGACTTCGACCAAGAGGTCAATCGACGAATTCAACTTGGCTGGGCAGTGATCGGGAAATTACGACACATCTTCTCGTCAGGTATAGCTCAAAACCTGAAAACGAAATTGCACAACCAGTTTGTGATGCCAGAGATTACTTGTGGATCTGAGACGTGGTACTTCACTATTGGCCGTGTGAGGCTCAAGCGAGCGATGGAGAAGGCTATGCTCGGTGTTTTTCTGCATGATAAACTTAGAAATAAGGAGATCCGGCAGTAGAACCAGAGTGACTGAGTGACCGACATAGTCTTACGGATTAGTAAGCTGAAGTGACAATGGGCTAGCCATATAGCTTGAAGAACCGACAAGCGATGGGAAAAAAAGGTTTTAGAGTGTAGTGAAACCCTCCACTAGATGGAGTGACGACCTGGTAGGATATAGGTAGTCGATAGATGCAGGTGGTTCAAAACCGTGGTTTATGGCATTCTTTGGGGGAGGCCTACGTTCAGCATTAGACGTGTGAAGGACTCCATAAGATCCTGTACTGATGAGTGATAAATGATGATGGGTCTTGCGGAACTCAACTCGGACCGCATGGATAGTTTCTACGAGCTTCTAATTTTTTTACGTGTTGGTTTCAAATCTTTAGATGCACGGGAGGGAAAGAGTTTCTTTGAATACCCTCTTCTACAAAATGTTTAGATTCAGTGTGCCTTCCATCATTCGGTAATCAGTTTCAATTTTCACCCACGCAATCACTAAAATATCACTAAGCAAATGTCGCCTAGTCGTCATAATGAATCAAGTTAATTTTTAAGGCTTGACCACGTCCACTTATTGTGGGGCCACTTTTAAAAAAAGGAGTTCATCTTAAAGAATCCCTCTTTCCGCATGAAGTCTGATTACTATGTTGAATCCTTGGATTCCGTTACCCCATTCCGAGTTTCCTTACCTTCAGGACACTACCCTTTCTTGCGCCTAGTTTAACTTCAAATCTTCTATCGTATTGTGAGTATCAGGAGGTCGAGGTAATGTATGAGAAATAATCATACATTACCTCCACCTCCTCATCGAGATCTCGGTTACTAGAAGCCGTCCCCTTAAGCAAATGTTTAAGGAGTTGCAACGCTTGAAAGGCGGTTTTGCAAACAGTGTTTGATTATTGAGTTATTAAAAGTATACTGCTGCCCATCTATTCAGTTTCCCTCGATCACCCTTAACGACAACCTAAATAAATTAGCTTTTTTGACGCCGCCAATATACAGAATTGTAATCAATATAATTTATAACATATTACGTTATGCAAATCATTACCTTAATTCTAAAATTAACTTCTTTAAAATGTCTTTTTTGTAATAGTACTTTAGGCTACTTATTGCTTATGGAGTCCTTGTTACTGGTAGAGTCAAGCCGTTTGTACTCGTATTGCAGCCATAACACACTACATTGTGACTCTACCACATAAAAAGTATATTTTAAGGAGTTTATCAGTTAAATAAGATTTCCCTTAGTGAATTCCATTGCAAATTATAATGTAGAATTATTTCTAAATATACTGTTTTTCTCCTGAATGTCGTGTGCATTATCAGTTTGAAAAAATAGTTTTAGTCATAGATTATTGTATATTTATTTGCAAAACTGTCCGTGTATAACGAAATTAAAATTATAACAGAACACTGTCTATTTTGAATAAAAATAAATTTACGGATTCTATCGGGTTTAATTAATTACTTTTACTTATTTTTAATTCTCGACGTTTCGGGTGCTTTACAGCACCCATGGTCACGGGGGGGGGGACTGAGATGTTTGACGTCCCAATGTCATTGTTAGCCCGGCTAACTTCAGTTTTTGAATATTAATTTTTGGTCCGATTTACGCAAAACGAGCTTACAGTATCTTGAAGACTTGTAGTGGTATGCTTGGGTTTGGGTTCAATTTTGTTAATTATAGGATCACAAGCAGATGGCAGCACCCAACCATCTTCTCTATTGATATTAGGATGTTTTTTAATTTCAATAGCCTCGCGTATCATCCTTGGTAGGAATCGATGTTCTTTTGCAAGGATTTGTGGTTTATCAAATCTGATGTAATGGTGGGGACGATCTTGGGGAGGTGGGGACGAGCGTTGTTGCTTCACGTCAGCTATATGTTCTTTCACGCGGGTTTTTATGGATCTTTTTGTTTGACCTATGTAAGAGAGACCACATTCGCAATCTAACTTGTACACTCCTGCATCTTGTAGAGGGATATTACACTTGACGGATGGTAAAAATTGACTAATCTTCTTCGGCGGCTTGTAGTATGTTTTAATGCAAGCTCGCTTCAAGATGTAGCCAACCTTGTCTGTGACTCCTCTGACATATGGTAGTACAGCAGGCACAATTGAAAAAAAAAACACAAAAAGAAACAAAATCCAACATTTTTTTTGTCATATTGTCATAAAATTGTAATCTTTCATAAATTTTTGAAACAATAATAATAGAATATTAAAGTAGCTTGTAATACCAACTTTTCGATAAAGGCCCAATTATTTTTTGAGAGGTTTATTTTGTTTTATTTATATTACCACTAGTAACGCCTTATTTTTGGTATTTACATATTTTATTATTTGAGTGTTCACGGAAGCTCAGCATTTGTGTTCGTTACTGACCTTTGACATAATGCTGATTATGTTTCCAAATGGTGCATTATGGATTTTTACAAGTTGAACAAAATTAACCCTTCAATCCCCATAAAATTCCCATGCAGTCGCATGCACCTGGCAATTCCCGAGCGGTCGCATGCGACCGCACCCACCACTTAAACCCATTGCACCCATTCCACACCCGACAGCACTTAAAACCATTAAAACTTATATTTAGAGACTACTTTTCTATGAAGAAATTTGGCATTATAAAATCTATACAAAACTCTCTATCCTGTGGTCAGGTTTTACTTCATTACAAAAAGATTTTATTGTATAACAAAAAAACATACCAAGCGGATGTCGGCAGCGTGAAAATCACAATTATTTCTATATATTACTCGAAATTATTTACGTAAAAGATAAATTATATTCACACAAAAACTTTTATAACAATTTTGTAATAAAACACTGCAGTAAAACACTAGAAAAATCCAAAAATCAACATCCAAATGAAAATGGCGTACGTAATGAACGTAGAATGTAAATTAATATCTATAGACTAACTGTTTTTTATTCCACTAGAGGATAGAAAATTTCCTATTGATTCCATAATGCCAGACTTCTTCATAGAAAAGTAGTCTCTAAACATAAATATTTATGGGTTAAAGTGCTGTGGTTGGGTGCGGTCAAATTTGACCTCTTGAATTTTGACGGAATATCGAAGCGGTCAAATTTGGACGCTTGGCGTTTGAGAGGTAAAATGTTGATTAATTATTAGAAGAAACATTCTTTCTTCCTTTCTTTCCTTATTTACACATTACCTGCTTACAAATTTTGTTTACATCTGATTTTTACTTTTGATACTTCAGTTTATCAGGTTAAGAAAAAAACAACATCAGTTCGAATTTTTTTTATTTAAAACGATTCGCAAAGTTGTACCCACAATTTGCTAGATTCTAGCTATGCATGTTCGGTACGAGATGATTAAAATAAGAAGTTTGTAAACGTTGAACTAATATATATCGCGATCAACTTTTCAAAACAGAAGAAATCATTATTAGTATGAATTTACCAATAATTATTAATGCTATTGTAATAAATTTAAATAAATAAGAAAAATATAACTATAACCTGCTAACACAGACAAAGGTTGGTACGAATTAATGTAATCGCTTACTTCTACCATTATAAACAATTACAACAGCTTGTAGAACTTTCGTACCCATCTCGATCTGTTGTGATTAAATGTTTTATAAAATCTACCAGCACTTTGTTATAAAAAGATATAAAATATTTCACAATACGCCTTTCGTCGTTTTTGTCATGTTGCTTTTATAAAAGAATAATAATGTGGCTGACATTGTAATAAAAGTACTTTATTAAAAGAGTGCTAGTACAAATTTTATTTTCTCACGAGTTAAAGAAAACAAGACAAAATCGTGTCATTTTCTTTAAAATGCGAAATTGGAAAAGCACCGGCCAAGGCAGCCACATCAAAGATGATGCGTCGACTGGAACTTTTCTTTGTATCTTAGAGGGATTTCGTTTTATTTCTAAATTAAAATAGTCACTGGACTCAAAACATGGCTTAAGTACTATACATCTAAAATATATAAATTATTACAAATTAAGTAAGGCATTTACAACATCGGGGATCCTTAATAGACCTTCATATTTACACGATACTAGACTGCTTACGTAACATCGTGTAAAAATAAAGAATTGACTAAACTTATATCGGTAAAACAATTTAAGTTTATAAATGGTCAAGATTTCGGCGATCTAAAATGACCAATGCACCACTATAATCTTCTGACGTAATATTTCAGTATTTATTCTTAATTAAACTTGGCGTTGGTCAATGTGTTTCCTTGTATGTAAAATTCATGTTTAACCTCTTTATCATAAAGGCGTTTACAATCTAGCACTACCGTTTGGCACTGTTTGTTTAAGAAAATAACAATAAATTATGCAAATATTGGTTGCTAAATTCAAAAATGTATAAATTGCTGTTTTAGAAAATTATTAAATATTTAAATCACAGTCAAGGTTGATAAATTTTTCATTGAAATTGAGATGTGCGTGCCACAACACTTTTGAAAAGTAAAATATATTAATAATTAAATCAATTACTACATATGACACGAAATCTTAAACTACTCCAACGCGTAATTTGAGCATTATTCTTGTGCATAGGAGAATAGATGGAAATAATTATCACATAGGTTTTATCCTAGTGAAGAAACGTTCAATGATGGGATCACAGGAGCATTTCACCTTCGTCGCTTTGCTGACACAGCGGCTGCTATCATTTGTCGCAGCATCGGTTCCGGAGTACACGCCTTTGGATCACATTTCATTTGACCATCACCTCCGCATCTGAAATTACGATTTGCTTTCTTTATACTTTTTTTGACTAGCTTTGTAAAAAAATCGCACAGGGTAATATGGCCTTCATATAACTCCATATGTGTACTACGTGTTCTGTTGTTACCTCTGATGACTAAGATCGAATGCCTCCCAGCCACTAATTATAAGACTTTCTATATCCTTCCAACCGGAACACAGCAATTAAAAAGTGGTAACATACCTAGGCAGACTACTAGGCAAGAAAAAAAGTGCTGCCACCTGTGACTTTAATCATTGATTTTAACTAATTAAGAATATCGTACGTGGTAGAGCCAGGCTGCAGCTATATTATGGTTGTAGCATGAATGGGTCGGCTCGACCGAGGAAGGACCACGCTCTCACAGAATACGAGCGTGAAATAGCAGCTTAATACTGCGGTGTTTCGTATGGTGAGTGTTGACGGAGACCCTTTTTTACTGGAAACGAGGCATTTCATCTTAGTCCTCAGGGGTGACAACGCACCTTCGTTTTGATTCTTAATAGAGGATAAACGTAGATGTCTATGGGCCACAGCATCCACTTACCATCAGGTGGACTGTGTGCCCGTTTGTCACCCTTATTCTATAAAATAAAAAAAAATATATCATAAACGCAGTTTCAACAGCAATACGAGAATAATTGGCTTGCAAATGATACTTACGTGCAATGTAAACATGGCCCTGAAGATGCACGTACAACTTCTCCAACTTTGTATGTATGGCCTTTTATTTGACATCCTCTTCTTTGTGCTGCCCCTTTATAAGCATGAGGCAGAAAATGTGGTGGTAATGTTGTCGTTGTTGTTGTTGTTGTCGTAGTAACATTGAGCGTAGTGGCCATTGAAACAGGACATTCATAACGTGGACAACAGAATCCTTGAATAGGTTCTTCGTGACATCCATGGATCGGTGGAGGACAACTTTGTTGTAAACAAATAATATCACTTCTAAAACAGAAACAAAAATCACAAGGATCGTCTCTCGGTATTTGTTGTGCAGAAATATATGCCTTGCCCCCATATCGGCACGTTCCAGGTCCAAATGCTTGATCTTCTTCTATATAATCAGGTTCTTGACCATATCCACTTGTTCCAGTAGGTGGGAAATTATTATCTTCGTCTGTGGGTAAGAGATCATCAGTTGGCAGAACTTCATTGAAGCTAGGTTTCGGTAATTCTGGATGAGGCGTTGATTGTACTGCTTCAATTGGCTTTTCATCCAGTTTCGTAACGTTATCAAACTGGATTGGTGATAGAGTGGTTACATCTTCAGTAATCTTTATTGTTGTAAATTTGCTTACTGCAGGAATAAATTCTTCCTTTTCAGGTGCACTAGTTTCATGTAAGGTGGTTTCAAAATCATGTGGTTTATTAGTGACTTTACTGTTTTCTTTTTCTTTTTCTGAGATCGTTGTAACACGCTCATCGTATTTAGGCGTTTCCTGCTTATTATAAATAGTTGTAGCTACTATAGGGATATAAGTTGAAGTCTCTTCATTATATGGTATTGGCGTGTGTTTGGTAGGTGTAGTTACTCTTTCAGTTGGAATTGATTGTTCTGCAGATGTAGAATGGAAAATATCTAACCCACCAAGATCTGTGCCAGGTGTTGTTTTTTCTTGATCTGCCTTTGTCGATAATTCCGTTTCGTTAATTAAATCCTCTGTTACCTTTTCTTGGTCAATTATAATTTGTTTGCTTGTTGTAATTTCAATCTGTTCTTTTACAGTAAATTGAACTTCTGAGCTAAGAGTCGAAGTTTTCTCTTCATGATATACTTCCGGAGTAGCTTCAGTTTCTTGAATACTCTTATGCGTATGTTCCTCTAATTCTACGAAGTATGGAGTAGATTCGGCATATTCGTATTTTGGTTTAGATGTTTCTTTCGGATATTCAGGCAATTTTGAGGTTTCATCTATAGGTTTCGTTTCTAAAACATTTGATTCTGTAGTGATTTCTACTGAAACACCTACGTTGGACTTTGTAGAAAGATCTAATTCAGTTATATTAGTTTCTTTTGGTAGATTGATTGCTTCAACGTGTGAATCTTGACTTCCATCCGATGAAGTAATTAGTGTAGCAGGTGATTCGGTTCGTATAGTTTCTTGATCTATTGTTTGCTCAGGTGATATGTGCGTATCAATAGCATATGATTCAGTTGAATATTGATTTCCTTCTGGTGCTTTTGTTATATCTATGTCACCATCACTTGTATGCAGCTCTTCCGTAGACCCCGATAAATGACTTTCCGTACTCGAAAATGCAGACAGTTTTGTCTCTAATTCTTCTAAATGAGTTTTTGGACTTTCTGTAGTAGTTGTGAAAGCGGCATAATTTTCATGCGTAAATGGTTCATCTGTGATTTTCGATTTTTCAGTAGTAAATATGTCATGATCAGTTACCAGAGAATCTTTATGTATTTCTGTAAATGTTTCCTCAGAGGATTTTGTATATTTTTCTGTCGTATCAGTACTTATTTTGTCTTCACTACTGGTGGAGACTTTCACTTTATCTTCATCAGACGTGATTTCATCTAAATCAGTTTTTGGGGTCGTCTCGTATTTAGCAGTCCATATTGATTCTGTTGCAACATCAGGCACATCACTTACGCTATGTTGTGTTGCATGTAAATCAGGTACTGCAGTGACTGTTTTTCCTTGGTCTGGTTTTCCAGTGACATTAGTAAATTCAAATGAGGTGTTAGGCATAAAGTTTTCAGATAAATCATTTTTATCTTCTCCCACTGCAGATTCTGTAGTTTTTGTAATACTGGTATCAGGGAAGCTAACAGGAGATTTTGTTGTAGAATCAATTAAAAGAGTTTCTATAGATATTTTATTTTTGTCAATGTCTGCAGGTTTGCTAAGTAAAGTTTCTGGTATTTCAGTAAACGATGTGGCATATTTTTCTTCAGATAATCTGTCATTTTTATTATCCGTAGTTGTTTCTATATATGAAGAACTTTCATCGGGAACGTTAAATGACTTTTCAGTTGTTATTGCTACATCATGGTGTTCCGAAATAAGAGTTGTGCTTTCAAAAGTATATTTTTCAGGAGTTTCAGTAGTTTTATCTTGGTAATGAATGTTCGTTACTTCCTTTTCTTTTTCTATATCTTCTGGTAGCTTAGATGGAGTGGTAGCTGTATTTTCAGGAACTTCTGTTAATTTTTGATCCTTATGAATATTCTCACTATCACGTATATTATCTGTGACAAGCTGTGGCAACTCCGTATATACGATTACTGTAGCTGCTTCTCCTGCCGGAGTAGATCTTTCTTCATTATTTACGGTAAGAGATTCCGGAAGTTGTTTTGTACTAGTTTCCAATGTGGGTGTTGCCAGTTTTTCTGTTCCTCCCTGTGGTGGTATTTCTGTAAATATTTCCTTATCAAATTTAGATAATCCAGAAGCGCCTTCTGTTTCAGATTCTACCAAGTGCATTCCTTCAGTAATTTTTATATCTGGAGTAATTGTGGCAAGCGTTTCATGAACATCATTTACTTCAGTAACAATTTCCTTGAATACTGTTACTTCTTGTTGAGGTGCAACGGTTGAATATATTATATCTTTTCCAGCAAATTCTGTAGTTTTTCCTGGTGATTCTGCTATAATTCCACCAGTGTATGCTTGTCCGGAAGTTTCAGTTACTTTTTCTATATATTCATCTGCCGGGGACGCAGATATTTTTTCAGTATCATATTCTAATTTTTCTGTGGCAACGAGAATATCTTTTACTTGTTCGTTATCTTCTGTTTCTGTAGCTTTTTCAGGTAATTCTGTGATTACTTTCACAGTAGTTTCTTCTATTTTATTTATATTATCTTCTAATTGAATGCTTGCTACAGGTGTTGTTAGACTTGTTTGTTCCGACTCTTCAGTTATTGTGTGTTGCTCGTCACTAGAAAGATTTGGAATTTCAGCCGTTTTAATATTATTTTGTGTGCTGGGAGCTTCTGAAGCTTTGTAGACTTGACTTTCTGATAGTTCAGATTTAGGAGGAATACTTAAGTCGGAAACTACTGTTGTATTATCTTTATCTTGTAAAGTTAAATCATTATCTTCTGTTATTATCTCTGTTGCTTCGGTGAATATTTGTTGGTCATTTGCTGGTACTTTGGTAGTTTTTTCTTCTTGTTCATTAATTACGGTAATATGAAGATCATCTATTATTTCAGATTCGGTAACCATGTGTGAGGACAGCATTTCCGAAATATCTGTTGTTGCCTTTGTATCATATGAATCTGGTGATTTAGAGTCGTCTTGTGTCACAATTTCCGAATAGCCAGGGGTTGGTTTGTCTGTTATAGGTGCATTAGACATTGTTGTCACTTTTGAGTATATGTCTTCTTCTACTTTATTTATTACATCATGTGAAAATGTGATATCTGTAATGTGAGGAGTAGTTTTTTCCACATCTTCTATTTTTAATATACCTTTTGTTGTTATTTCAGGCACATCCGTAACTGATTCCTCTGCAAGTTGAAGCTTAGTTGTCTTATCTTCTGAGTCAGGAGGAGTGGTAGATTTGTTAAAAGTCTCCAAAGGTGAAACTTTTATAGACACACCTTCAGTGACTTGAGGTGTTGAAGACTCGGTAACTTCCTCCTCTTCTTTTAAAACTAAAGTGTGTTGAGTATTTTCAGAAGATGTTTCTGGTAACATTGTGGTCGCCGAAATCGATAAATCTTTTTTGGAAGTCGTTAACATTAATACATCAGATATTTCTGTAGGCGTTATTGTATTATAAACTTCGTCAGACCCTTGTTGTTCAGCTTGTTTGGTAATGTCAATAGATTTTTCAGTATATATTTGTATGTTGTCTTCAACTTTAGGATAAGTTTTGGGCGTTGAGAAATCTGTCTCATATACAGGAGTATTATATTCTTTATATTGGGTTGTTTGCATGTCCTTATCTGTTTGTATAATATGCAGGCGTTGTGTAGTAAGCCCATGTGTATGAGATTCAGAATCAATTTGAATATTTGCTTGCCCTTCAACTTGCTCGGTTGAGAATAGATCTGGTTTTGTAGTTATTTCATGAATTGGTTCTATTTCATTTACCTCATCTATTTTTTTATCGAAAAGATGGTGTTCAAATATCTCAGGTATTTGTGTAGTAATCTTATCAAACATAATTACAGTAGATATACCTTCATTGTTATCTTTCTCTTGACTTACCACTGATAAACCAGTATCTGTTTTAACTGGTTCTGTTATTATTAATGTTGGGATATCTGTAACTATTTTAGCTGTTTCGGTTTCAAAACGCTCAGGCATGCTAGTACTAATATTTTCATCAAGTGTGTTTTGTGATGTACTTTCTTTATCGATGGGTTTCAATATTTCAGTTTGAGTTTCTTCAGAACCAGGTTCGATTCCTGATGTTGTTATATACAGATCTGTTTCGTGTGAAGGTGATAATTCAGATTGTTTTTCATCGACATCTACAGAAACTGGTAATTCGGTTCCTCTACCATTTAGAGATTCCATTAAATCGTTTTCAGTTTCTTTTGTAGTAGTAATTGGTAATTCAGTGAAATATTCTTCTGCGTTGGTTTCTTTAGTTGCGGATGTGATTTCTTTTGTTAAATATGATTCTGGTGTTTCCGTAGCTTGCTGTTCTTTAGTTTTATATTTTTGTATTTCGGGAGTAGTTGTCGTCGATTTTTCTTCCATGGTGTATTCAACAGTTTGTTCGGTAGATACATGATGAGGTAGTTCTTGTTCCTCATTGTTTTCAGTAGTACCTTCGCGGTGGATTGGCGTTGTTAATACACTTGAAACTTCAGTAGAAGTTTTGCCTTCAGTTTGAGTATCAATATTATCAATAGGCTGCTTAGTTGTTTCAACGAGTTCTACTATATTCTTTGTGGTATATATTAAAGTACCATCAGTTGTTTTATCCACATATTCATTGGATTCCGGCAACTTTGTAGACATTTTTTCAGACAGGTTTGGCTCTGTGTATTCATTTTTGCTTACTGAAGTTTCGGTGGTATACTCACTATCAAAAAGTAAAACATTTGTTGTAGTAACATCTTTGTCATAATATTCTTTATCTTTTTCATCTTGTTTAACTAAAGGCTTAGTGTCATAAGTTTCTGTTATTTGTGAGTCTGTGTCTCTATTTTGTGGCGTTGTTATTTCGTTTTGAGTTTCTGTTAGACTTAAATCTTTTTCATGATCAGATATGGTGTATTCTAATGTACTTGTTGTAGGTAATTTAGGAGTTTCTATTAAATCAGATATAGTTGTTAAATGATATTCTAGGCTGGGAGTCTTTGATTGTTCGTTTAACGTAGTATTTTCATCAGCAGATGTATTTGCTTGTTTTTGATCACTTTCTGCATTTGCTTCTGCGAGTGCAGGTTCCGGTAAAATATGGGAGGATGGTGTAGTCAAATATTCTTTTTCGCTTATTGCATTTTGTGATGTACTCACTTGTTCTACAGCCTCCTCGGTAATTATTTCGACTTTGGGTTTCATTGAAGTAAAATTCTCCAATTCTATTTTTAAATCTAATTCAGTTATATCGGAAAGATGTTCGGGGTATTTTGTTGTTATTTCTTGCATTGTAATGTCAATTTTTTGACTTGATGTATCGTAATTATCCGTTTCTTGTTCCAAAACGGAATCCGTTTTTGTATCAGGCTTTGTTGTGGTAAATTCAGAGTCAATTGCGGAAGAAAATTCCTTTATATTTGTTGTAGTATCTTTAGAAACAAGAGATTCTGTTATTGAATCTATCAATGTATTTTCAGTATTATATGTAGAAGGTAATTTCATTGCAACTTCCGATGTTCCTTTTCGTCTACAATTGCCATTCTCGCATTCCTTTTCGACATCATCAACTTGATTTTCAAGAGATATATCAGTAGTACAAATGCCATTTTCACAGGATTTTTCATCTGTTGTAACAGATTGTACGTCAGCAGTATTACCATTTTGTGTTACACAATCTCCACTTTCGCAAGGTTTTATAGCTGTTGCCTGATCACATTTACCATTGGCGCAAGCTTCGGTGTGCTTAATTGGCAGTATGGGATCTTTTTCTGCATTTTCGCATCCGTTTTCTCCACAGTCAGGTTGTTTTTCTCGAACCACATCAACACAATTTTCAGATGTACATGGTTCATGCTGTTTAGATGGTGGTGTTTGCTTATCTACAGTCTCTTTGCACTCATTTCCGTTGCACTCATTAGCAATAGCTGGTCTAGGGTTATCTGTACCGGACATTTGGCTATGAACCTCTGGTAAAATTGTTTCCTTAGATTGATCACATATGTAAGTAGGGCAGCAAGATTCGGCTTGGTCATATACAGGTTGACAATTACTCATAATATTTTCGTATTCGGGTGGCGGACTACATATGATTGGATCACATTTTACGATGCTGCTAACACATCTACAGCTTGTCTGACACTTATTTGTGCTAGGTACTGTTGTATTGTTTTTGTAGGTAATACCATTGAGTAGACAATCTCCTTCTCCTGGTATTCTGCCATGCGAAACTAACACTGACAAATCTTCTTCAATTTCATTTTCTATTGAGTTAATACTAGTTGTTTCATCGAAATCTGATTTTATTGTACTGAAAGAAATATATTCATTTGTGCTTTCTTTGAAATCCTTATCACTTCCAGGTTTAGTAGAAATGTCTAAAGAAATTTTCGTTGTAGTTTGTTCAGTTTGGAATGAATTCTCAATATCGTGTGCACCTGCAGTTTCTAGTTTATGATAATTGTTTTGAGGTGATGTAGTGGTATCGATTATCGTTTCATGATCATCGTTTGTACTTCCTTTTTGCCCATAATATTCTTTTTCAGTAGTTATTTCTTTAAGTTCCTTTTGAGTCGTAACTTCAGTAATAACATCAAAATCATCTTTTCTTAATGTAGGCTCTGTTGTGATAATATACTGGTCATCTTTAGAAATAAAACTATCAGACAATGAAGAAGATACGTAATCACTAGTTGATTTAGTTGTTATGGACAGATCTTCAGTAATTTTTTCATCTTGTGTACTGATGGGTGTCTCCATTTTTTTGTTTTGTGAATCAGTTGCTTGTTCTTCTTCCGCAGATATATCAGGCTTTGAAGACTCTGTAGCTATATAATTAACTTTTTCATCTCGTATAATGATGGTTGTTTTCATTTCTTTGTTTTCAGAATCAGTTACTTGTCCATCTTCCACAGATGTATCCTGTTTTGAAGACTCTGTAGCTGTTTTACTTTCATAAAGAGTTGTTTGTTCAGCGCCAGATATTTCAGGTTTTTTATGTTCAGAACTTAATATCGGAATTGAAGTTTGTTCAATATAAGGTTCGATTGTACTAGTAAAAGGTTTTGCTTCTGGCATTTTTGCTGTAGTTAAGAACATTTCATCTGTTAAATCAGGTGTTTGACTTCCTGTCGTTACTGTTTCAGATTCATCGAAAGCAATTACTGATTGATCTTCTCCACTGCCTTCCGTTTCTGTTACATCGAAAATTGGCATATCAGTGTATGGTTCATCAGGTTCAATTCTATAACCACTGCCTTCTACTCCTCCTCTTCTTGGAGGTGTTGACGAGGTCGTTTCGAAAATTTCACTAGTTGTAAGTTCAGTTATATGATCAGTGGCTAGTTCATTACTTTCACAAATGTAGGTGTCAGGGCAACACTGTCCATGTCGCGGTGGAAGTGAAGTACAATTTTTTCCCTCATTTTCCATTGGAGTTCCACATCCTTGTACTACACAAACAATGTCACCTTTCATACAATAGCAATGCTCGCAGGCCTTCTCAGTTTTTAATAAAGCTCCATCGGCAAATATTTGATCATCATGAACACAATCCTGAGATGCTTGTGTAACTGGCTCTAATGTGGTAGTTGTAAGTAAAAATCCGGGCGTTGGACGTACTGTTGTGGTCATATCATCCAAAAGTGGTATTTCATCTTCTGGGTGATCTGAAACAATAACAAATTATGTGTCTTACATTGAAATTCATTGCATTTTTTTAAATAAAAAATAAATGCGGATAGTTACCACACGAGTATCTTACAGGACAGCAGACATCTTTATGATAAATAGGAATACATCCATCAACGTGTAAGGTACATTCTTGCATTACACACGTTGTCATATTTCGAATGCAGTAACAATGTTCACACGGTTTGTTTGGGGTTGGTGGTACTTTAGAACCCTCTGGGAAATACCTTCCGTTGATGCTGCAACCATATTTGTCTTGTTTTCCTATTCCAGTTGCTCCGTATTCAGCTGGAGATGATGTGGAAGTTGATGTCAGTAGGTCAACTGGAACTGAAATGAAATAAGTAAATAGTTCTTATTCTGTCAGATAATAAAACAGATTTATAGATCACTTTGAATATCTTATTATTGATTTTAGACTACGGTAGCTTATGAATATGAAACGGTAACTTATGAATAACAAAAGGTTAACTATGCCATACTTAGTACCAAAGTTTACGCTTACGCTAGCAAAAAGACCTCGTCTAAACATATTAGTATTCGATATAAAGCTTGTCCTATAAGTTAAGTTGTTTTATATGATAAATTCGAACTTACTACCTTATAGGTCGTGTTCTACATGCCGACTTGAACACAGATAATGTGACGCATGATGGAGAAATAGGAAAATCTATCATCATATCTCAGAGTTCACTCAGAGGAAATAAGTGAAATTGACCTTCAATCAGTGGCTGTATAGACATTTTGTAGTAACACCAGATACAAAATAGCCACATCGGGACTAAAAATAACATCATAACGTGAACGATAATTGGATCTGCTGGCTTAATTTATTTATGTATCGATTTTGACAAAGTAGTATCATTACGTCTCATTTTGGGCTTAATTTTTGCACTTTTATTTTTCTAAATCTATGGCGAAAAGGAATCCATTTTTATTAGGGAATAGATATATAGTTATTTTTAAGTACCGTGTAACTGGAATCAAAATGTTAAACACGTACAGAAGTTTTCGCCACTTATTTTAAATTTACATTTTTATTAAAGATATGCGGACAAACAAGCATGACTGCCTTATGAAAAGTTTCGACCGCCTCCCATAAACATATGCAACACCAGAAGAATTGCAGGTGCGTTGCAAGTGCATTGCCGGCCTTTTAAAAAGAAGTAAGTTCGTTTCTTGAAAGTCCCTATATCGTATTGGTTGGCCGTTAGTAAACGATTATACAAGGAATTCGTGCGAAGATGAAAACTCCTAGTAAATCGCATAGTGGTGGACCGCCAAGCATCCAGATGGTGTGGATATTATTGAAAATTTTGTCGCTAATACGTTGGTGGAATTTGGCGGCTGGAAATAATCCGAACAAATCCTCTGAGCAAACCCCGTGGTAAATTTGATATAAAATACAAAGGAATGCAACATCTCTTCGCAGTGACAGTGGATCGAACCGATCAAATAGAACTCGGTCGTCAACGATTCAAGTCGCTCGTTACTGAATGCGGTCAAATGGAAGGCGTCGGCACGGGTATGTCCCTGCCCAGAGATGAAAACAGTATTCAACGTGAGACCGAACCTACGTCTTATAAAGTTGCAAATGGTGTGCCGTCCTGAAATACTGTCGTGCTCTACAAAGCAAGCTAAACCTTTTAGAGGCAATTTTGAATTTTCGAAGTGACCGCGAAACTGAACGTCATTCTAATTCTATGTCAGGCTTAATTTGTCTTGTACGGTTATAATTTAAGATATTCTTTATTACATATCCCTTCGTATTTGCAGATATCGAAGCTCTTTTTTTTTCAGATATTACTTCTCACTTTAATTTGTGTATATATTAAATCGCAAAAATATCTGATTCAATAAAAATTTATTCCTTTTCGCTGTCATTTATTTTGAGTAAATTGTAAATTCAAGAATTTTTTGTGAGTGCTTTTTCTGTCGCAGCGCATTTTTGTTGAGAGGTGGGACTTATTAGGATGATGTAAAAATGTTTATTAATTATCTAGGTTTAGGCACTCGCATAATATTAGGTATATTGAAAATGTCGTACACGGTCTTCCAATTTTTTTTACTAAGATTACGATCGTTGCCTTTTCTGTATTTTATGTTTTGGTTAGTAAGCGTAAGTGTCATAGATCTAGACGTACTCGTATAACACTGCGATCGCCAATTCGCTTGCCAAGCGTCACAATTAATGAAAATCCTTTTTACTATAAAACCACCTAGCAGTGCTTAATGTCGATGAAGATGAATGTCACTAACAAAGGTAAAACGATTATACAAGGAATTTGATAGAAATACTTACCATCAGGGCATGTGACAATAGGACAACACTGATCAGCGCGTTTTTCTACGGTACAATCCTGACCGATAGCCTTCGTGAAAGGACAAACCCTCAAGTAGCACATAAGCATTCGATTGTGACAAGTACAGTTGAGACACGGTTCGTTCGTCATTATTCGATCGCCTTCGCCATAGTGCTGGAAGTTATAATAACAACCTTCCTTTGTCCCTGAAAGTAATAAACAAGTGATGTTTAATGACAAAATAGTAATGTTTTAAGCCTATTATGATACCCATGATACTTCTACAAGTTAGCAAAATATAATATAATAGCTTTCCAGGCAGACGTTGTCCTACCCTTTTCGACGACCCTTTGTCATTTCCTATTAAAAATCTTTAAATTCGCAAAAAAAATTATGGGTCACTCATGGGCAAAAAAAACTACCCTATCTCTCAAGTTTGACCAAACTGCACACGACGTGCAAATTTGATTAAAATCGGTTAAGTAATTTAGGAGTCCATCGTGGACAAACAACGTGACACGTAATTTATATATATTAAGATTTTATAATTCTTAATTAAAGTTAAGATAAAATTTTATTTGCATTTAGTGTGGTCTTAGTCTGATTTTAATTTTATTTATTTTTTATAATATTAGTGTGACAAACGAGCTAGATTTCCCCGCGGTGGTAAATACTCACTGCAACCCCGTAAACCTGTAAACTACCTAATAGGGTGTGGGGTTATTGTTGGGGGACGGTTCTCTTCGGTGCGCCCTTTTTTTTTTTTTTTTTTTTTGTTTTGTTAATCTTTTTTTTATTTTATTCTCGTAAAACCTGGAAACGCCTCCTTCTTTTTTTCAATGCCATGGATGCGTTTACATTATTGTAGATTGAAATAAAATCTCTTTGGCTAATTTATCCTCCAAATTGGAACATAGCAGCAGCATAGTAGGTAAGCTACCAACCCAAATGGTGTCATAGACAAAAAAAAAAAGAAAATTAACTTGATAATACAAACAATATAGGTAGTACGTAGTAAAATTTCTGTTCTAAATCCATAAATTTAACTGAGAATCATAATATTTTACATTTCATAATATGCTAATTGTTAACAGTGTGGTGGGGGTTTTAAATCATCCATCACCGCACTTGGGCCCGTGAGTTATCTATGGGAAATGTCGAAAAAGAAAGATATACAACTGTATACCATTTCGTTCAAGCCGGACGTATAAATAATCTATAAAGGCGACGGGTGGCAGCGTCAAAGGTGCGAATCGTCTCGTATTGTGATGGTCAATCTACCAGCCAAGCGTGATGAAAAAAACAGTCTGTCCAACAATAGAGTCCCATGTACAGCAGTGGACTGTTCAAAGAGGAATCGTTTACATTAGATATTTAAAAAAATATCATTCTATCATTTTAAAATGCCATTCGCAACCGCAAGAACCCCATAATGAATTCAATTTCTGGCTTGATTATGGTTTAAAAAAATACCAATGTTTGTTAAAATTCATTTATCAACTCACCTTCGTACATATCTAGCGCTGTGTGATTGCTAGCCATCGGTGCTGAAAACCAACATATGAATTAAATACTCAAATTAGACTGCATATTTTATGTTTATGAATTCTAATTTATACTTGTATAACGATAATTATATAATACATAACTAATATAATACAACATAAATATATAATACATAATTAAGGATATTTAAGAGTAGTTTGCAATGTATATGTAATATGGTCATCCGGTTAATATAGTCACTTTCTTATAGCTCAAAAACTACAGGTTTGTTTGCATAGATGACTCTGTGATACAAGGGTCAAAAGTGCCCTTTTTTATCGACGCTATTACGATAGTTGACAATATAGTAAATATTTTAGCCCATTTACTATGGTGTAGTGTAGTTAGTTTTTTAAGTTGATTTTTCGAAGTGTTCATAATTATTGCTAAAGTTTGATTGCTATTTTTTTCTTAATATATTATTTATATTACACGAATTTGTGTTTTTGTCTTAGTCCTCGTCCTAGTTTCGGTTTTATAAGGAGGCAAAGTTTAAAATTAATATTAAGATTAAATAAGTTAAGGTGACCATATTACCCTCACGTACGTTACAACAACAAAAGCTGCATCATTTTAATGTGTTCAGCTCAATATTAATATACCATTCATTTAAGGATCGTCCTGAGTAAGTTTTTAGCTTGATTAAAACTACTTTTACGGATTTTATCGCGTTTTATTTATTTTATTTTTAATACCCGACGTTTCGGGTGCTTTACAGCACCCATGGTCACGGGGGACTGAGGTGACTGACGTCTCGATGTCAAAGTTAACCCGGAGTACCTTCAGCTTTTTAATTATTGTCTTTGGTCCGATCTACGCAGAATGAACTAACTGTGTTTTGAAGTCTTGCAGTGGTATTCTTGGGTTTAGTTTTAATTTTATTAATTATAGGATCCCAAGCAGGGGGTAGTACCCAGCCTTCCTTCTCTATTGAAATTAGGATGTTTTTTTAATATCATAGCCTCAAGTATCATCCTTGGTAGGAATCGATGTTCTTTCGCGAGGATTTGTGGTCTATCAAATCTGATGTAATGGTTGGGGCCGTCTAGAATATGATCGCAAACTGCAGACTTCCCGGAACGTTGATGCTTCACGTCAGCTATGTGTTCTTTTACGCGGTACGGTACGCGTAAAAGTAGTTTTAATCAATGTATAGTATTCGCGGAAATATAAGAAATCATTAAGTTTTTAGCTGTTTTAAGATTGACATAATTAACGAGTTATTGTTAGACAGTACCTAGTCTGTCGGCAGCAATTCGCCCAATGGTCTCAATCGGTCATCGTTTACCGTCGTTTTAGATATCCCTTTTTTTGTGTAAAATAAAATTATAGAAGCTGTAGGCGACAAAACTATAATTAAAGTAATGGCTAAAGACGTTAACATTAACACTGATCATCGTCGATTCGACACTTGGTTTTGGGCAAGTCATAACTCCAAAGATAAGACCTAATTTCTAATACGGTTGATTAGCGGTAATGACGTTGTCATTATACAGAGGTTATTCTAAAAATGCCAGAGAATTTGTAGATTCCAGATCTATACCGATAATTTAACGGAAGTATGCTGCTAGTTAGGATAAAGCGGTGTGCCCGGGTATGATAAGCGCGGCACACAGACGACCCGTTAAGGTTCGGCGCCGCTAGATCTTATGGTTATATGCGACTGTGCGCAAAGCTGCCAGCTCGTCCACGTAACGGTCTCCAGGAATGCCGTCAGCATCCAGTTTTTGTCCGACGTGATTTCAGTAACGAAATTTATTATTTCAATAATTTATTATGAAACTTTGTTATTAACAAAAAAATGTAAGGTTGTAGCGGATTTTATCGTATCGGACAATATTTATTATCCGTTTATGTATTTTTATTCGTACCTTCAATTTATTTATAAATTGCGTTCTAACACGGGAGCATTTTCTTTACCCCATGGTGCTTGATGAAATGTTTTCATTAAATACGTATAACTGTGACGTTATAAAACAAAAAAACTACTTAATGCGAATTCGTGCGCTTAGAAACATAGCCCCAAGCAATTGAAACAAGGAGGCAACATGAATTTAAAATTTGCACTGCATTAATATGGATTGTTGTTTCAGTGAATGAATGTCGCCGTGTTCGCCATGCGTGATTAAGTTCACACGGGTAGACCTAAACATTGTAGGCCGCATTTGTATGTACTTCCTATGTATGCCATTAATTCCACACGAATTCTTTGAAGTGACCGTGCCACGTATACTAAATCTCCGCGGACTAAAATAACATTATCTAATAACATGCACTGCGAAACAGCACACACTGACCTTTACTGTTAGGCCCGACCATTCGTTTTAAACTTTGTCCAGACGTTGGAGTCTATTGCGAAAACTATTAAGCTTGATTTTGGTATTTAAACGCAGATGTGACCTACCTACGTTGACATTTTATTTCTTTAATAAGTAGTACGATTCAAAAACGTAAAAAAAATAACTTTGTAAAAATCATGACGAAATTATTTAATACGTTATGACATAAAAAATCCTTTATACCCGGAAAAGAATAGTCAGATGCAACCAACGTTTGTGCATAATTAACTGTTTAAAGACCAACGTCCTCGAACCTGTTCGATAATCAACTTAGTACCCGTATGAATTTAAATATGTGAAATAAATCATAAAAAAGTATACCGACTGAGATTTAGCGCTTGCAACTAATGTGTTTTGTAATTGTAAATAAAAATTCTTTAAGAAAAAATGAATTAAAGATATATTTTATCGCGTATATAATATTGATGATATAATATATTTTAGATTTTTGCTTTACTAAAAATTAATATTTTGGTAAACTCTGAATAGAATAGTTTTGAAGAAGCCTATAAAAGGAAATAATCGCTGTTCGCGTGCAACCCGGATTCGAACCGCCGCGCCGATACTATTAATTGCAGTTTTAAGAACTTTTTTGTTCTGGAACAGCGTTGTGGATTGATCCTCTGATGAGGATTAGAGAGGACCTTCATGACAAAGACAACATCACATCACTAATTTTTCCCCTTATTCATCCCTTTTAAAATGTCCTGTGTGTCCTGTGAATCCTTTTTTTTCCTCACAATTTTTTGTATTTTTACAATGTTCTACAAAAAGTCAATCCCTGTACATGTCCACACGAACTCGCAAATAGCTCATTACAAGAATTAACGTTTCACTACTTAAATCGGATTCACTTTAATGGCTGCAAATAATATTTGAAGTACTTATCTAATTAACGTGATGAGAATTTGCAAGGACAATTGTGATCGTTCATGGAGTACTGTTATCACATGTGAGCTGATGCTGCAAAATATAGTCAATCTTATCGTATATATCTCACTAGAACCTGTCAGTCCCGAGCATATATGCATTGTTGCCAGTCTCTTGGTATTTTTTTATATAATATGGGTAACAAACGAGCACACAGTACACCTGATGGTGAATGCTTTGGCCTATAGACTTCAACATCTATCCTCGATTAATCGAATCGATAAAATCGAATCAAAATGCAGGTGCGATATCTCCCCTGAGAACTATAATGGAATGCCTCGTTTTCAGTCAAAAGTGTTTCCGGATATCGTCACTCACCATAAGAAATACAGCAGCATTAATCTGCTATTTTACGCTGGCATTCTGTGAGAGCGTGGTCCTTCCCCGGTCGACCAATTTGTGCTACAACCATGTAGCATGACTCTACCGCGTATAAAATATTCATCGAGGAAATAAAATAAAGACATTATGCTCAAACTACTCTTTATGAAGTTCACCCTATTTGTGACTCACCCGCCGAGGAGCAGGCGATGCAGGCGGCTAGCGCGAGCAGCGCCCCTGCCGCTCGCCTCCGATCCATCTGCCGCCTCCCGTCTGCAACAATCAAACAATCCAATCAATTACAAGCAGCCGCGTATCGCCAGCTCATTATCACGCTGTGAACTCAGTGGGGAGCTCTGTCAATAACTAAACTAAACGTGCATTCACCATAAAATAATATAAATTAAGTACATTAACATACGAGATATTTTTGTAAAGTTACAGACTATATACGTCCCACTGCTGGGCACAGGCCTAACCTCATTTCTGAGAGGGTTTTAGGGCAAGGAAGTGTCCGCCGCGCTTCCCCAATGCGTGTTTACGAAATTCACTGTCTTCGAAAAATTTTTTTTCTTATTCCTCAGACATGCAGGTTTTCTCACGATGTTTTCCTTCACCGCCGAGCACGTGGTAAATCAGCACTTAAAATTGCAATTAACAATTTTATTGGTGCCGGCGGCGATCGAACCCGGGTTACTCGCGTTCTGTTATACTTACAGCGAGCGTTAACCATCTGAGCTACCACGGCTCATTCACCATTTTTTATACAATGTACAATGTATATCTCAACGTATAAAACAAAAATACCCTCTTACGAGGTAGTTCCTATTAAAGTAACGTATCGGGATGACGCTGCCACTTGGAAAATGAAACATTAAGCAAAAACAAAGTTTCATAAAAATCGTTAGAGCCGTTTCTGTAAAACCAATTACAAACACATATTAGGTATTATAATTCCGTGTTCCATCGCCCCGTTAATCTCGTTGCTGTTGTAAGACTATACGAAACGTAAAACAGATCGCGTGGCTTCCTGTTGATGTATGCGTTACTGTGTGGAGCAGCATTTAAGGTACGCGACGTCTGGTACTACTTACTTCCTACGTCAGTCCTTCAGCTTAGCGTGACGATTACGGAAAATCATCCATTAAACGAGAAAGGTTCATGCCCAGTAGTGGACATTTCTGGGCTGATAGAGATAAAGAAGAAATTATTTAATATATAGTAATGGTTTCCTTAAAGTAAATATCAAGATATGATATGAGGCGTATGAGCGCGAAAATGGCAGAATTTATTTATCTTCACATACTCGTACTTTATATTATATGATTTTGATTGTATCGTATGTTATATTACATACAATATTTACACGATAATTACAAATTACGTAAATTCATAATTTGGAGGCACTGTAAGAGCTCAAGAGCAATGCGTAGGATTAAATTTCATAGTACGCTAGCAACCTGAATTTAATCTTTGCCGGCATAAACAAAAACGAGCTTTGTTTAGCGTTAGAAAAGAATATAATTTTCTTAGTAATGAGTGGTGTGACACCTATCTAGATGAACTTGGAATGTATTACATTATCTAAAGACAACATTTTTGATCCATATCGTTAGAGACGTTTCCGGGTAATTAATTACATATATACATTTAAACGAGTATATAGGAAAAACTGTTTGTGTTGGTTGTAAACTTTCATTCACCTTTCAGAAATTATATGAGTCATGTTCCCAATAGCAGAACGTATAGTACTCCTAACTTCTCACCACTGAGCATTTTAATTTTTTGAAGCATGCTACTTAAAAATCAAGCCAGAAAATTTTCTTGCTAATACAAATTATCCTCTAATATGCATTATTGGTTTCGAATATTTTGATTACACAATATATTTCTTCCCAACGCGCCACTAAAATTAAAAGTTATCTACTTAGGCAACAGAAAGCGGAAGTATTAAAAAGCTTCGCTCTGAATGGAAAAGCATACTTTAATAAATTTGGTTGCAAAGTAAGCTTATTAAGCTAAATTTAACTTCGTGACAAAAAATATTTTGTTTTCATTCAAAGTTCAAAAGCGAGAAGTTTTTGCAATCTTAATTGGAGGGGTGGAATGAAATGAAGTGAAGGTACTTGTAACAAAATACTAAAGAAGCTCTTGGGCGGTGTAATAAACGTAGAAATGTATCGCGCGAGAGGAGCGAGGGATAGTGGGAAAATGTGTCGTGGAAGTAAGCATTGAGGACGCGCTCCCGAGTGGGGGCGGGGGCCTGGGGCCGCCGTCGCACCCCAGCCGAGATGTACACACTCCACGAGTGCGTTGTTTTTAACAACTCCGGATATATATCCTCATACTTATTATTGCTCTCGAACCGTTGTCATTTGCAATTCATTCAACAATGCTATGCGTTGTAGCAAGCATTGCCTTTAACAAAAAGAAAAAAAAATTGTCAGTCGCGTAACATGAGTCGGAAACTATAAAACGCGTACCTATTTTTAACGTTTTCAAATTTCTTAGCAACGCATATGCCATATGAAATATATTACAGTATACTCATATAAGAAGAAGAAGAATATATAAACATAACATACATACTTTATTATAAATATCCTTACTTAACCGTAAATAGGAACCGCGAATTATTTTTAAATGTAAAAAAAGTCCTACGTTGTGGTTGACTCGTACCGGCACGCCGGCTGATTGGTAGTTACTTCATGACATATAGTTTAAGAGTCAATAACGACTAAGTATATTTAATTCCTTAGCTCAATAGTCATAGCACAGTGGAAACTTCTCTATCTGAAGCCGTCAATCAGCTCACACTGAGTACGTGCTGCAGTTCTCATGTTTATTGTTATCTTTTCTATTGAAAGCTTTTTACATTGTAAATTAAGAAGCGTAAGTGGAATTTTTTTGTATGAATTTTCTCTCTTCATTCGTCTCCTGGTTTTAAGCAATCGATTTTGTCTAAATCGCTTAAATCAAAGGTATTGTTGTGCTTGTTCGTATATATAAGAAAGGGTCCCTTCGTCTAGACGCGCTTGGCAAGTCACCTCAGCTAAGAGGGTGAGGGAGCACACAATTCTGTAACGTCTATTTATTTGCTTTAGCGAAAATATGTGTTCGACACATTAAGGCGTGTTTGAGTTCTTCATCCTGTCGATGGCACCTCTTGGAAATTTCGTTGGAACTAATTACGGAAAGTTTCGATAAAGAATTGATTCGATTTTTTTTATTATTGGTTTTACGTGTACAAGTTAAATTAAAACAATATTCTGTTCAAAATCACAAAGCTGCTGTACACTTTGATGCATATCTTTATAAAATTCTTTAAACAAAGTATCGTTACGTTCAGCCTACTTTTTATTCCCAACTGGAAATAATATTATATCTGATGGACACAAAGTGGAAGACTCGGTTTTTCTTAATGTATACAATGGGAGCCCACTTCCCAAGTATAATTTGGTGTACCGTTTGTCCAAGCGATGTGGCGTCAAAAGTAACAGTTAATTTGATTATATATTAAACCTTAATTTGAAAAGCATGAATATGAAAGTTATGCCAAAAATGATGTGATGAATGTGATGAGATTTCATTCATTTTGAACTTTACTTTACTTTCTTTTTGATAAATATTACTATCGATCAAAGACTACGTTTGCAAAAATATGATATGAATTGTACACATCTTGTGTGTACAATTCGTGTCATATTTTTTCATATTAGCATCACTCAATTCGTGTCATATTTTTTCATATCAGCAAGACTAAAGTCTTCTTATTGATTCTTTTTATTGATTGACTTAGCGACGTTCATGCAATCATGTCCGAGCTAGGCATAAGCTATCGATCGAAGTACACAAAAGTGGAAAGCTTATCGCAACATCTCTCAATAACTCACTCGTAAAGAAACGAGTTTATACAAAATAACAGCTATGGGAACTGAAGATGATTGGATGCGATCGGAAGGGCGCGGGCGCAATCCGCGGTAGGTCGGTGCCCGGCGCGGCGGCCGCGTGTTGCCCAACACATAATTTCGGAACAGTGCAACCGCAGCGAGCATTGACACCAATTTCTTGAACATGGATTAATACTAAACGATATTGTGAAGCTTATATCTGTATTCTCATTTCATTCGAAATCATAAACATAATGGCTGCTTTTGGCAGAAAAAAAGCGCTAGCAAGCGCTTGTAAGCAAAATGGCGATCGTAAGCGGTAAGCGCTTTCAAATCGTAAGTAGCTATTTTCCTCTAGGACACGAAGTTAGTTTTAACCGGGGAACCTAACCTAATTTAAATATATGTTTGTAAAGTATTAAAATTAAGTAATTTTTAATAATGTGTGGTTATTCATGTCATTATATTACTTAAAACTAAAAAACTCTACTTCAAAACAAACAAATTAAATAAGAAAAATGGCGGATTGTGTCAGCGCTACTGAAGTTAGCAAACGTGTCCTGGCCGAAAAATGTTTAGTTTCGCCATTTTGCTTACATGCGCTTGCAAGCGCTTTTTTCTGCCAAACGCACCCAATATTTTAGTATCCTAACGGTAAATTAAAATCATACCTATTTAAAGATTTGATATTTCGTTACGTCAAAACAAAATGTTATGCTGAGGTTTTTTTTATAAATGTGAATATTAGAAGTGACAATCGAACATACAATCCACCTGATTGTAAGTGGTCACTGCAGCCTATTCACACCTGCAGCCAACTTCAAACAAAGAAGGCTAGAGATGCGATGCCACCTCTGAGTACTTAGAACGCCTCCCAGCCTGTGATTACTCTGTATCTCTATATTTTCTCTATAGCTCTTAGACCGGAACACAAGCAGAGATAAGATGGCGGTACCTACCCAGGCAGTAAACGATTTCTACCACCTAGAAAAGGATTCTCATCGACAGAAGACTATCCACCGAGTTAAAGTAAAATAATTATTTTTGTACCTATGATGCGACTGCGCATACTAACTATGAATCATGTAGGTCTAATATCACTCTCAAATTAATCCCTCGATCATGACCGTACAAAATAAAATACTTTTATTTTTTTATAAATGCATGAAATCATTCACATAATCACATAGTCGTATTTATTGATAATTATAAAAAGTAACTATACCATTAAAAAATTGTTTTAAGTTAACGATGACTTTTAAATATGTTGTTGATTAAATCAGTTTCTCGGCTTTAGAAAAATAATTCTTTGGGGGCACACCTATCTAGAATAATTTGTAAAGTAAAACAATATACCTACTCCAACTTG